AAGGCTAGACCTCCACTAGAGGCACTAGCGAACATAGGGGTTTATACGATAGCACCTATTTTTGTTACGACAATGTAATGGAGAATGGATGCCATAAAGAGATTGGACTCTTTTTTTCCAGGTCAAGGATCGAACCTTTAGGTAGCTCGACCATACAAACTTTTCGAAGCGCAGTGAAGTCACTCAACCAGAGAGAAGAAGCGAAGTGAAGTCATAAAAAAAGGAGCAGGGTCAAGGCGATCAACAGAAGGGAGGCTTAGGAGTATTCCTGTGAAAGTACTAATTGGAAGTTCTAGTTAGTGTTCCGTAAATCCTAGTCATTGTCAACGAAGCAAGTATTTCTTCGTTCATAAGGTCAATTACACATTCCCTCTCCTTTCAGTCGAGACTCACTTTGCTCTCCTTTTACTGATAGATCGGACCTCCTGCAGACCAGGGAAAGTCGTCTCAGTTGCACTCACTCAAAGCGGCCAATGATTTTCCCTAGTCTATTTAGTAATGGTGCTATAGATATCATGAGCTGACCATTCCATAGCGTAGTAAGCCTACCTATCATCTATTCCACGTAGCGACCAAGGATGGGACTTTCCCTATTCTAACTGGTTGGAAGGGAATCGGTAGCATGAGCTCCCATCGAGCTGGAAACCGGCTTTCATTAGCTTTCTCGGTCTGATGGAGGTCTTTCTACGCCTACGTAGGTATTCAATCTCTAAGCGAAAGCGTGGATGCAACTAAGAAGAAGAATCGGGGTTCAGTCCATGTAGTTGCATCTACATCCTCGCTTCCGGAAGCTAAAATCCAAGGCATTGGACTCTCAATTGTATCGTATTTTTGTCTCCGTTTGACTTCCCTCCTTCGTCCCAACTTTAGAAGCGAAGTGAAGGATCGACAAAGTTGACCTCGACCATACAAACGAAGCGAAGCGAAGTGAAGAAAAAGAGTTCAAAAGGAAGGGAGTCATTCAAAGAAAGAGTCTAACTCTTATCAGTAGGACTCTGTCCAATCACCCAAAAAAAATGGTGGGACAATCCTCAAGCACCGGGAAAGGGCTCTCCAATTCACAAGTAATTTTTTTTACAATTTTAACGAATTTAAAGGACTGCGGCCGCAGTCGAACCTGTCAGCCGGCGATTGCGGCCCATTTATGTTGGGACGGCCGCCTATTGCGGCCCTTACATTTTTGGCCGCATTCTTTGAGTGAGGCCGGTTCCCATGCGGACGCTATTCGCGGCCGTTTTTTGTTCTACAAGTCGCGCGCGGCCTCGGGCGGACGGTCGGTCCGTTCTGTGCCGCGCGCGGACCTCTTTGTTTTATTATGTTTTTTTTTATTTTTTAATTAAAAATGTTCTTAAAAGTAATTAAAATGTTAATAATAAATTTATTTTAATAACATTGCAATAGTACTTAAATATGAATATTTAATAATAAAATTTAATAAAAAAATTAGATATTAATACTTATTGAAATTAAATTTATATACTAATATAATTTATAATAATATTTATTATAAATTATAATAGTAATTAGTATAATTATGATACTAATTACTATATTTGTATAAATTAGTATTTAAGATAATTAAAAATTTTATTTATACTACTATATTAGTTTATATTAGTATTTAGGATAATTATTAGCACAATTATACTTATAATTATACTAACTATTATATAGAAACCCTATCTCCCCAGCGGCGGCATCCCTTCCCCCAAA